CCTTCCACATGTTTCAGTTGTTGGTCAGTGCACTGTAGAAAACAAACATGGGGGTAACGGGACTTTGTGAACTAAGCACGGAATTCCAAATTCTCTATACAACACCATTATTACGTCCAGTGATTTATGCTTTGCGGTTGTACCTAGCGATACAACCACAAGAGTGAAAGGGTGGAGGAGGAGAGAGAGGGAGTTTCAGGGACGTGTTTACTGTCTGGGGCCTAGGCATGATACAGCAAAGCTACACTGACTCCTTCCAGACACACTTCACGCTTGGCAGGGGAGACGAGCCAGTCAGCCCTGGTCGTGTGCACATCACGCACAGCTAATGCAACCATATTTATGGGCTGCCACCTGGCACTTTGACCGCAATTGTCGTAGCGGCGTCGAGGCGTTCAGAAACAAATGGAAACAGAGCGCCCTGGGCCCCTTTAACTCCGTTTTCTGGGACGTCAAACCCTTTATGCAATGATTGACAGCTCAGCTCAGGGTCGGGGTGATTATTCAGAGCTGTGCCAGCCGTCAGTTTAACAGGATCCCTTTACACTGTCATTGAATTATGGGCGCAACCGTCAGTAAACCTGTGGAGTCCTGTATCTCAGCGTTTAGTGCGCTCACCTCGCAAGCGAAAGGATCTGGGTTCGATTCCCGGTGGGGGCGAAACCTTAGGCAAGTTTCCTTAGTCCATACGCCTTTGCTTACCCAGCAGTAACTAGGAGCCCGGTTGTTAATCGATTTGTGGATGCTTTTCCGGGGGTAATAATCCCTTCAAAAGAAAAAGAATTAAAATTTGGTCACTCAATCCACGGCTGTTTGTGGGACACTGCTGTGCGCAATTGGCTGCAGCCTTTGGCCCACAAAATACACAGTCAATTCACTTTACAATATATTCGGTAACCCACATTGAGACGTCTCGGGGTGGGAGGGCTTTTGCAAGGATTATTATTAACATATCATCCAAAGGGTGGTATCTCTAACAATACAACACACCCCTAGTACTGCTTTGGAGGGTCATCTTAGACATTATGAGTTAAAAGTTCTGATGTGGGGCTTGAACTAACAACCTTCTGACTCAGAGATGAGAGTGCTACCACCGAGCCAGACTGAGACACTAACTCATGGTTGTGTGTAACTATAAAGGATTAAAAAAAGACAGACTACGCTAACTGCTCCTAAAGACTTTCCAAATAATAATCCTTCCATTTGCTGTAACGCTTACAATGTTAAAGCACATCAAATAGCTTCACAAGTAATTACTATCTGCTGACTGTGTACACACTATGTCAGCAAATGTGGCAGCCAATTTACACACAGCTACGAGGTGAATGAGCAGTTTCTCTATGGCTTTGTTCTCCAGGACACAGGCAGAGACTCTCTTCTTCACGGTCTAGAGGACAGAAGCTGTGGTTTAGAAAGCTGGAGATTGATGATGAAACTCCCGCGTTGTGTCAAGTTTACTTGTTCCACCGGTTGCTCTGCTAGTTTGCAGCACACACCCATCACTCTTACAATCAAAAGTAAAGTGGGACGCTGCTGTGCGCAATTGGCTGCCGCGTTTCGCCCACAAAATATACAGTCAATTCACTTTGCAGTGTATTCTGTGAAGCGCTTTGAGCGTGAGGGCGGGGGAAAGCCTTCAGGAAAGGAGGGGGCGGAAAATAGGAAGGAAGAAAAAAAATTAATTGATCATCAAGGAGAGCGACCAGAGGCTTAACAAAGAACGACCACCCAACACTGTCTCGCCGCGTGTGTGAGTCCACGTGGGAGCATAGAGTCAAGAGGAGAGCAAACTCGGGGAGAAATAGAGAAGGGTATCTCTCCAAGAGTCACACATGTCTTTCATTCTTCTCCCTCCGGTTCCCGGGAGGAATATTCCTGAATAACATTCCAAGGTTTCACTAATAAAGACGTGATCAGCACTTTTTATTTTTTAATCTGTGCCCTTGTTCTCTCACCGCACGGGCCCGAGCTGTTTAGGGATTGCCCGTTGCATTTCTCTCACACTTAATCATTTCCAGCCTATTTTCTTGCAACGCTCTCCCTGCGGGAAACGCAGTGGAAAATGTGGGGAAAATTCCGGCCAAAATACACGGAATGAAATGCAAGCGATCGATTGACTTGGCATCTGAGAGTCCCGGTGTGGTTACCAAACTTGCTGATGTAATATAATATAATAATAATAATCCTTGCAATTGATCATGTCATTGAGACGTCTCAAAAGCGCTTTCCAGAATACATTGTAAAGTGGTTCGAACCCAGGTTTGATTCCTGGGCAGGTCAGGGTAAAACCTTAGGGAAATTTCCTTACTCCACACACGCTCCTCTGTTTACTTAGCAATAAGTAGGAACCCAGTCGTTAGTCGATTGGCAGATCGCTTTTCCGGGGGTAATAATCCCTTCAAAAATAAAAAATAAATGGTCACTCAATCTACAACCATTTGTGGGACACTGCGGTGTGCAACTCTGCTATCAACCACAACATATACAGTCAATTCACTTTACAGTGAATTATATTCTGTGATGCGCTTTGAGACGTGAGAACGCGCTATACCAAAATGCAAAGATTATTATCATGTTATTATATAACAGTGACTTGGGTTGGGTAGATTTCGTGCTCTCCCACCACCCTGCGCACGGCATAGGCTTGAGGTGGAGGAGAAAAGGGGTTGAAATGTCACGTAAGTGTAAGGTATTGAAGTGAACGAGTCAGTTCCTGTCTCTTCAGTGAAAGCTCCTCCAGTCCACGCAGGGTTAACCATCCCTGTGTAAAGAGGATGCAGGGATTCGGACCCAAAGGTCACACCGGTGCACGGTTTAAACAGATTTATCCCGGAAAAGAGAAATGTAATCTGTCCTAGTTCGCATCTGTGTGTGTGTGATAACTGGCTTGGGTCCCTGTGTGCTTGCTTCACATCAGATCCACAAGCAGAAGGATATCCTGCTGTTAGTATCACCAAAGTACAGAGAGAGCAGCAAGGGAGTGCTTAGAACCTGCTTGCCAAGGTAATGCAAACACTTAAGGGAGGGAAAAGGCAGGCAGGCAGGGGGGCGAGAGAGGGGCAGCCACATCTACAGAGCATATTAAGAGCAAAAACAAAAGCAGGATCCCAATTACCCAGCGAAACATGATACCATTGTGCTGACACTGCACTGACACGGCTAAATCTTCACTCCTCACCTTGCCCTCGCTGGGAAAAGCAAGCCACATCTCCAACGGATTCCGAATTCAACAGAGCCGAGAGATGGGAGGGAGGGTTTGGGGGTGTGGGGGGAGGTTGGGGAGGGAATGCGTTTCCCAAAACAGCTCCAGAAAATCCAGTTACAGATAATTAGGTCCCTATGACTTGCCATTGCCTATTCATAGGGCCTTGATGAAAATCTCCTTCTTTAACCACAGCAAATATGTGGACAGTGATTACTTTCAAGTGGAAAACTAGCAACCGACAGGGGCTGTTTACAGACACTTCAGGGGTTGAGCTCTCCCTCCCCTTCTCCCTCCCTTGCCCGCTCACCTCCCCACCCCCCGCCGTCTCTTGTTAGGTGTGTTTCAAAGTCAAGGGCCAACCAAGAATTGGGTTAAAGGTAACTGAGGATGCAATCCAATATTAAACCAGCTCCTGTGGTAAAATTCCACCTAGATTTACTCTGTCAGTAAAATAGTTTAAGGATCTAAAATCTCCCCAGTCTGCTCTCTCAGCCTTCCCTCAACAACGACGACAACAACGTGCGTTTACACAGCGCCCCTTCACGCCCCCTCTCGGAGCACCACACCAAGTCTGGGGGGGGGTGGGGGGAGAAGAGAGGTGACGATGGGAAGGAGGGGGCAAGGCGGAGGGATTGAGGGAGAGAAGACAACTTCCTGTGGCTGCAACTCAAATCATTTTGTTTTATTTCTCTTCCCTTCGGCTTCTTCAAGTGAGATGTTGAAGTTAAGTCACTTTTTGGGGCCTGTTTTGGATTGTGGAGCTCTGGGTTGGAACATCACAGGCAGCCATTACATCATAGCGACACACAGAGAGAATACTGTCATCCCAATTAAAAGGGCAAAGGACAGCATGATAATCCTCTCAACCAGGCCCCGTCTGCTTTAAAGTGACGTCTTATCTGTAAGTCTCTGTGTGGTCAATGGTGTCGGCAGCGCATGATCCAGGAAATACTCTCGGATAGAAACATTCACATCAATCACAAAGGGGTAAACACCAAATTCCTCTGGCAAGGGTTAAAGTGATCAAGGCCATATTTCAACAGCTTATGGAAAAGGACACATCCCATCTCTTTGGTTCTTCTGTTCCTCCCGCTCCTGCCGTTCAACTTCTGATAAGACTTGTGAAACAATAAATCGTTTAACGAATGGCCGTCCCCACCCACTCCCTTCTGGCCTCAGAGAAATGCCAAGAGATGGAGACAGTCCAGGAAGATACAGAGATAGCAACACAAGGCGAGGGCAGCAATGACTACAGACTGGAAGACTTAGGGTCCGAGAGCTAGGCTCAGAGCTGATACAGCGCTTTATCAGTAATGACCTATAGTATTGTATTCACTTTTTTGTGCGTGCAAAGGCTAGTATCTTCACACGAGATGCTTGTATTATAATCCACGACCAGCCCAGGCTCTGTCTCTGAGCTGAGATTTATTAACTTTCTCATTAGTTTGCGTGTGGAGGTCTATCAAAATCTCATCCGAAGGACGTCACCTCTGACCTACAACTCCTGTCGGTGAGGATGAGATGTTAAACCGAGGTCCCATCTCCCATTCAGCCAATGGAAGACGTGATAAGGAGCTGTATCAAATGCAAGGATTATTATTATTATTATTGGTCTTACCTCTCGGAACTGGATGGAGACGGGCAACAAGCGTATCATACAGGACCCACATAGAGGATACTTTCATTTCCCACGCTCCCTCCCTCAAGTTTGGGCTCCCTCAAACCTAGAACCCCACAGGTTAAAGGGGAGTGCAGGTATTCGATTTTAATTCAAAGTCTTCCGATGAAAGGATACTCTCCGGCATCTGTTCTATGGTGTTTCGTGGCGCATGTGCCTTTAATTTGCCAAACTTCCTTTTGTTTTTTTTAAGACTTTGCACGTTTGAGGCAGCAGAGCTGGAAAGGGCAAAACAGAGAAACATTTCAATTGCGCACCATATTTTATTATCATAACTGAACTATGTGCAGATATTCATGCCTTAAATATGCTTTGGATTTGTTCGCCTTCCTCCCAGCCCTTCCTGCAGATCTGGAAATTTGGGTGTAAGAAACAAAAAAAACATGTATTTTATCACATTGAACTGTTTTGAAGCAGTTTCGCAAGTAATCAGTGTAAAAGCGGTCATTCACTTTATGGCTGTTTATGAGACGTTGTTGTGTTGTTCCCAGTGACTGATCTGCTTTTCCAAGTCCTGCCGATGAGCCAGGCTGGGCTGTACTGTCATCAGCGGTGAGGGCCCTGGAATACTGTGGACCCACCAGTTCAGCTCCAAGGATAGTCACTAGTTGGTAGTCTAACATCGGACAAACAGAGTCAGTGATGAACTCCTGTTCTTCCTCTGACACCCTGGACCAATATTAAATTCTTGGCCAGNAAAAAACCACACAACACTGTCAGAAAAGGCTTAACAGAACAGAATCCCATTATTTAGATCAGTCCTGGAATTGTGCAATCAAAGAGCAATTAAACCACATGCCCCGGGATGATAAATAGGGATTCCTAAACATAATCCACTGGACAAACTCAAATGCCCAGAACGGCAATCTGAAACAACAAGGCTCCCCCAAACAGCAGAAAGAAGCAGTGAACACAAATCACACTTTGATTTGTGGTCTATTTGCATTGTCTCCAGCGCTCTGCTGTATTGTGTCTACGGGCTGCGCTTTGCTGAGAGCCCATTGTAAACAAAGCTTTCAACCTTAATTGGGACATCCTGTAGGAATATCTCTTAATGAAATAAAGAAATACATTCACATTGTACCTCCGGAAGTCACCAAGTGGCTGTTGTTTTTTCTGCTGCTTGTTGTCACACAGTGGTATAGCGTTAATCAGTAATGCTTAGACAAGACCATCAAAAAGAAAACAAATGAAATTCTAGATCAATAGCCAATGTCTCCCAGTTCCCAGATCAATGACCCTCCAAATGAATTGGTCAGTTAACTCGTGGCTTTTTTCTGGGACTTTTGTTGTATCCAAATAGCTGCTGTGTTCGCCTACAGCCACTAAGCTTCACAGTAAAATCCTGTGAAGCGCTTTGAGACGTCTTGATGTGGTATGGCGCAATATCAAATGCAAACATTATTATACTAACTACCTGTTAAAGTGTTTTGAGGGGCTAAAAAAAACAAATAACTATTACTGCTCCCTGTACGGGTCAGTGTTGGCCAAAAGGTTGGCAATATACAAAATGATTCTCAATATGTTGTGACTGTGAAGCACTTTGAGATGTGATAAGGTGCTATATAAAAATATAAATATAAATTTATAATTAAATATAAACTGTGGGTTTCGCCCACAAAACACGCAGTCACTTCGCTTTACAGTATATTCTGTGAGGCCCTTTGAGACGTCTCGACGACGTGATAAGGCGCCGTATCAATCGCAGGGATTATTATTATTATTACAGTGCACATTAAAAAATTGCATTTTCTATAAAGCTTTATCAAATCAAAATGTCTCAAAGGGTTTCTTGTCAGGGGTAGTGTAGGGGAAAGTGTAGCCTGTTTGCCCACAACAATGCCCCACAAATAGCCATTGAAGTGAATAACCAACGTTATCTGAGGTAACGTTGGCCCAGACACATCCCCTTCTCTTTTTGAATAATATCCCAGGATCTTTAACATCCACTTAAACAAGCAGATGAGACCTGTTCAATGTCTCATCCATTGGATCAGGAAACGAGTAAACAATGTATCATGAATGGATTCCCAATGGTATAAGCATCTGGTCATTTACTGTAAGTCCAATTCATTGTGAAGCTTTCACCAAAAACTTCTGAGACGGGGCTAAAAGTCATTTGATTCCAGCTCAAATTGATCATAATAATCCTTGCATTTGATATAGCGCTATTAAAATGTTCTCTCTCTTCCTCTCACTCTTTCACGTGCAATATGACCCGCCTGTTCAGGTGGACGTAAAAGATTCCACGAGGCTATTGGAAAGAGAAACGAGTTTCTATCTCCTACCTGTCCTGGCCAACAATCTCCCCAAATAAAATCCGGGGGCAATGGATTGTGCCAGTGCGGTTAGCAAGCAGACTGTTCTTGTCGGATATTCCCTGGCACGAGGTTACATTGCTTGCTATCCACAGAGTGTGGTTGCTGGCGTGAGCAGAAGCTTCCGCACTGTAAAGAAATTCACACACTCGGGTGTTCACATTGCGTGAACGACCGGCCATTGTCAACAGCAACACGTGACATTTACACGTTGCCTTTCACGTCGGGAGGACGTCCCAAGGCGCTGGACAGTCAGGGATTTGGACCCGAGCTGGGGGTTGGGATCAGGAGGGGTTGGAGGGCAGGGAGGGTGGGGGGGGGGGTACGAGGGTGCCTTGAGATGTGCCTTGAAGGAGGCTAAGGAGGGGAGTTCCAAAGGGTGGGGGCAGAGAGGCTGAAGGTCCGAACGGCCTTCGGAGGCAAAGGGCAACCATAATTTACATGGTGAAGTATACGTTACTCCTCAATGTGGCTAAAGGCTCTCCCCTCCTCCCACCCCCCCACCCCACATAGTGCAGAAAATGAGCAGAAAATGTAAGCGGCCTCTCAGTCAGTACCAGCTCATGAGCCATTTCCTTTCTTCACTCCGTCGGTGAAAGACCGGGGCAGAGACTCGGAGATGAATATGTGTTGTTCTCTTCACGAATACAAAAACATTCGCTCATCCCTCCCCCCCCCCCCCCCCCGGACTTTCTGGTGAGAATTGAAAAACAAACCTGTTTTTAGCAGCGTGCAGGGGCTCAGGGTGTCTCAGAAGGTGGGTGCCCTTTGACCATTTGGATTCCAGGCCATTCCTGAGAGGTTATGATAACATCCTCTCGGAGCATCTGTTAACAGAGTGTTACTGATAGCGAGGGTCCCAGGGACACCAGTGCCACACATCACAAGCACTTACACACACGCTCGTTTGCTCACTCCGCAACACACTCCATCTTTACATTCATGAATAATAATAATCCTGGCATCCGATACAGCGCCTTATCACGTCGTTGAGACGCCTCAAAACGCTTTGCAGGATATAAGGTAAAGTGGCTTGACTGGTCGTGGGCGAAACACAGAGCCGGGGGGAGGGGGAGGTGACCGTAAGCGCGGTCGAAGAGGAAGGTAGATCCTGCAAAGCGTTTTGAGACGTCCTCACAACGTGAAAGACGTTATATGAAACATTATAATTATATGACGTATTATAATTTGCAACTGATTCCCATGAAATGGTCTGCAGCCCCCCACCCCTCTCCTCCCACCCCCTCCCCCCACACACACACGGTACATTGTACAGTATTTACAATAACAGGAGACTGGGAAGGAGAGCTCCAGGACTGCTGAGTAGACTCTGTAAATCCAGCCGCCAAACAATTAAGAGATTAGCATCGAAGAATGGTGACAAAGAGGGTGTGCCACTCCAGCTCCTCTTAGAATAATAACCATTTCACAGAGTATTGAGTGAGAGAAATGTTGGGACTTTAAACAATGGTGAGTTTAACAGAATGAACCAGAGGTTATAATAATAACAATCCTCACATTTGGACATAGCACCTTATCACGTCGCTGAGACGTCTCAAAGCGCTTCACAAGATACACTGCACAGTTGATTGAGTGTGTACTTTATGGGCAAAACGCAGCAGCCAATTGCACACAGCAGCGTCCCACAAACAGTCGTGGACTTCGACGGGGAAGGGATCATTGCTCCCTGGTGATTATCCGCCAATTGACTAACAACCTGGTTGCGCTGGGCAAACCGAGACACGTGAATCTTGCCTCAGGTTTTGCCCTGACCGGGTATCGAACCCGGGTCCTCTTGCTTGCAAGGCGAGCGATCTAGCCGCCGCGCTAGGTGACTCCATAAACGCGCGCACGTAACCAGGGTTAATAGCGATACTAACCGCGATGTGACCGGGACAAGTAGTAAAATCCCACATCTGAATTACCTTGTTGTTGGCCTGCGTTGCTGTGAGATGGGAAGTGTCACATTGTTCAGGCCTGGAGGCCACAGTCCCACATTGATTGACCTGAACCGACCCTCAATTCGAAAGCTTTAATAATGGTGGGAAAGGGACTGAGCTCAGGGTAAAGTGGATTGCAATGATTTCTTTGGATAAGCGCTGGAATCTGTTCTCTCAGTTATTCTTGCCCAGGGACCTGCTCCACCCAAGTTCCCTGCGGAGCTTCTTATCTAAGATCAGCCACACAGCCTGCAGCGTGAAATCGAATTAACTACACACACACACACCTACACACCCACACATCTACACACACACACACCTACACACACACACACACACCCACACACACGGTCACCCAGTCCTCCAGAATGCTGATCTCAGCAAGTCAATACAACAGCTGGATTTTCTAGTGCACCTTGTCTTGTTTTCGGAATAATCCTCGCAATTGATGCAGCGCCCTCTCACGTCGTTGAGACGTCTCAAAGCACTTCGCAGGATATATATATTATATATATATATTGTGGAGTTAATCCACTGTGTATTGTGTGGGCCAATCGCGCACAGCAGAGTCCCGCAAACAGTCGTGGATTGAGGGACCAAATTATTATTTATTGATTTATTTTTTTGGAGGGAATATTACCCCCGGAAAGCGATCTGCCAATCGACTAACAACCGGGTTCCTACTTACGGCTGGGTAAACAGAGGAGTGTGGAGTATAAATGCAACGTGTTGTTGTTGTTGTTGTTGTTGTTATCGTTGGGATCCTCTGAGTGTTGGCCAAAGACGCTTTGACTTAAAACAGAAGGGAGAAATTCATCACGAAAGTCAGGCTCCTTTAAGACTTTTATTGCAACGCTTCACGTAATTATAAGCAGGATATTTAAAAGCGTCTCAGACACACGGCAGGAAGGTGTGAGTTGTTCTGTGGCGTTACCAGGATACTCACCGCAGAGTAAATATTTGAATGGGTTCTGACATTTGGCACGGGGCAGTTGAAGGGAAATCCTTATTATAGCTGTGTACAGTACAGCGAGATCCATGTCATCCAGAGAGTCGACGCTACTGTACATGGGCTCAGCAAAGACAGCCCTTTGCAGATGTTGTTTTGAGATGTTGCGGCCAGAGAGATTAAAGAGTGTGCAGCTCACAGCTGAACCCGAAAACCGTCCCAGAAAAATAAAAGATTAGAAAATAGAGTTGGCTGATCTCAGTCAGCGGAGGCTACAAATTTATAGGTTAACCAGTCCAGCTGGTGTTTGTACTCTCACAAGGGTGTCTGTCCTCGATCCTATCCTTAGCCCCATAATCCCGGACGGGGCGAAACCGTAGGCAAGTTTCCTTACTCCGCTTAAGTTCCTTGCCTCTCGTGTTCCAACGAAGCATCCATGTACGAACTCCCCCCCACTGGAGTCCTGTAATGTATTGGTTAGAGCACTCGCCTCGCAAGAGAGAGGACCCGGGTTCGAATGCCGAGTGGGGAAACCTCCTTACTCCACACCACTCTGTTTATCTCGCAGCGAGTAGGAACCCGGTTGTTAATCGTTTGGTGGATCGCTTTCCGGGGTAATAATCCCTCCCCCCCAAAAAATTAATAAATTGGTCAATCGTTAACAACTGAACAACCGTTTGTGGGACTACCATTGCAAATAAAACTACAGGAAATTACTCACTAAAATGCTGCGGTGGTGTCTGGGTTCTGCCAGGGCTGTGCTGAATGAAAAACTCTAATATTCGAAACAATAAAATAGTTCTCCCAGTACCTTCGCTTCCTCTCCCTCAGCTACTGCCCTCACCTCGAGCAGCCACTGTCTGAAATCGACGCGACTTTTCCCCTGGGTCATTGGTAGGAGACCCAGGGGTAGAGAGAGAGAGAGAAACAGTACATAGGTGTGTGTGGAGGGTGCAGTGAGGGTGTGGGTGTGTGTGGGTGGAGAGTTATCGCATCCGGAGTATCGTTGCCAACTCAGGTTGACCTGCCCGCTCCACACCCCCGGCCTGTCAGGAAGCGGGAAGAGAAACATTAAAAACATTGCAACATCTGCGAAATAGATTTTCTCTTCGGTTCAGCCGGGTGTCTGACCCACGCGGAAACCCATTGCCGTGCTGAAGAGTCTCCAAACCAAGCTGAGAGTTACCGTGCAACCCTGGAGGGTCCCACCAGGAAGCCTTCACTCCCCCCGCCCCCCCCCGCCGGTACCCCAGCCACCTCTGCCCCCTCGATCCACAGGTGTGTACCGCTGAACGAACCTGGCTCAAATCCAACCTAATGTTCCCCAGCCAGATTCGGCTAGACCTCACCCAAATCTACCGGACGTCCTCCCGACATGAAAGGCGCTATATAAATGTAATTTCTTTTGTTGGTCTAAAAGACCTGATTCCAGAGAGTATCAGGCGCAGGCTGTTGGGGCTCCAGAGTGTGCATTGGGGGTAGTTGGAATCTAACCAACTAAAGCCACATAGCTGGCCATTGATAACACTGTCGAGCAAGCTTTCCCGCTGCTTGTTCAACCAGGACCACCCTACCCGTTAGGGCTTTGGTTTGCAGGATTAACGGGAGCTGAGGGTGAGGATTCCCTGTCCTTCCAGGACCTGCTGACGAGCCGGGATGGGCTGTGCTGCCATCAGCAGTGCCCTGGAATAGTGCAGATCTGCCTGGCTCAGAAACTGGACTACTGACACGGCCACAGAGGGCTGGCTCGATTCTGGCATCCCGTTGCCAAACCTGTCACCTTGGAGCCAGTTCAGCTCCAAGGAGACCCCACTTACCTCTCCCTCTGTCCTACTAGTTGGACATTTGACATCCAACAAGCACAGGTTCGGTGGCAACACAGTTCAGCATGAAATGCATGAGACCATCGGCAGCATCTTCCTGCCCACAACTCAGACACACAAGCGATGGTTCTACCAGTTGGAGGTGCGGACTTTAATCAGTAGCCAGTTTAACTCTCGCTCCACTGAATAAACAGGAGCTCCAGAAAGCTTCTAAATAAATGGATGAATCCTTTAACCCTTTTCCGGCTAAAGAACAGTAACTTCAGTTGGTAGCCCTTTCACCCTGGAGCCAAAAGATTGTGGATTCAAGCTCTACATCAGAACCTGAGCTCACACAGTCCAGGCTGATGCTCCAATGTAATGCTGGGGGAGATTTTGCCGGTGTCCTGGCCAACAATCCCCCAGATAAAATCGGTCACTCATTACAACGCTGTTTCTAACAATAGTAATAATAATAATCCTTCCCTTGCATTTGATATAGCGCTTCATCACATCGTTGAGACGTCTCAAAGCGCTTCATAGAACATATTGCTAAATGGATTGACTGTGTATTTCGTTGGCTGCCGCGTTTGCCTACAGATTACACACGTGTGAAGCACGTTGAGACATCCCTCTGATGCGAAAGAAGCTATATCGAATGCAAGGATTATTAAATAGATTTTCTATCACAGCATAAACCCATTAATACAAACCACAGAAAACGTTGCTAATTTTAGTTCAGTCCCATGGGGTGAGTAACCCTCACTGAATGAATGGGAACTCTCTACGGTGGCACAGTATATAATCCTGACTCGCTGAATAAACAGCAACTCCGTGCGGCGACATAGAAAATAATAAGGAAGATGTTTATTCTTATCACTTCAGACCATCTCAAAGCACTTTTCACAATGAGTTATTTTTAAACGTGTCACCTTTGTTATATAAGCAAAAAGTGGCAGCTAATCCGTTCCAGCAACGTCCAACAGACAGCTCTGAGCTGTATCGGAGATGATAAACTGCACTACTGGACACCCATTACACAAAGGACATCAGAGCCATGGAGTGGTTCCAAAATGGTTCACACAACAACAACAACAACTTGCATTGACTTAGCTGGCTTCACGTGGGGTAGCGTCTCGGAGTGCTCAACAGTGGCGCTGAGCCCAGGGAGGGTGAAGGGGCTGTAGGCGCAGTTGAACAGGCAGTTTCTTCAGATGCAATCTGAAGATGGACAAGGAGGGAGCAAGGTGGAGGGAAGATACCACAGAAGATCCCCAGGGGCGAGGGGTTATAGTTATAAAGATAAAAGGAGAAAAATTGAATGTTTTCACTGGTTGGGAAGGTTAAGAGGAGATCTGATACCGTCTTCGCGTCTGCAATGCTTTGATACCCGGGAGAGAAATGGAAAAGCACTTAAACAATGATGAAGCCTCATTCATCTCAGTTAGCCTCAGTGCCTCTGCGTTAGATAAAGTGGGCAAATCAGCCAAGCTAGACGGAGATCGCTGAGCACACTCACTGTCAGGTCTCACACGGTGATACACATAATAATGTAATATAACAATCCTTGCATTTGATAGAGCGCCTTATCACATTGTTGAGTTGTCTCAAAGCGCTTCACAGGATTTTACTGTGAAATGCTACGATTGTGTATTTTGTAGGCAAACAGAGCAGTCAATTTCTGCATAGCCAATGTCCAACAAACGGCCGCAAAGTAACTGAGCAATTTTATTTGGGGGATTGTGACCCAGGGAAACTCACTTCCCTTTTCAAAGAGTGTCCACAAGGTTTTTAATGTCCCCTCGAACAGGCAGACAGCAACTCAGTTTAACTTTTCAGAAGGACGGCGTCTTCAACAACACAGTCTCCCTCAGAACTGCAGTGCTGTGTCAACCTTGACTATACGATTTCAAAGTCCCAACATGGGGGCTTGAACCCACAACCTTCTGACCGAGCCAGGCCGACACACGTGGGCAAAACAGCAGTCAGTGGGACCGGCAGAGTTGCATCGTCAGAGAAGGGTAGAAAATTCATGTGTTGGAACAGAAAAAAACTGGGGAAAAAATAATACTGAAAATAAAGGAAGAAAAATAAAGGGGGTGGAAAGAGTCAGGGGCTGCACTCAGCAGCCTCCTTCCTGCTATTGTGTAGGTCGGGTTGTGAGAAGCCTCACAACAAGCAGAATTAAAATAAATATAAATAGCAGCGTAATGGGCAGGAAGGGCTAGCTGAGATGTTTTTCAAGCACATACTGTATAC